AAGTAAACAAAATGGAAATCAGGATGCCATAATATCTTTCTTTAAATTTCTGGCTTGCTGCACTTAGCAAGTGTATAGATAATTATAGTCTCCTAAATTTTATCAATCAACTCCTATTCAAAATGCTTGCTTACAGAAGAATAGAAGTCGTTATGTAAACATCCAGAGCCACTAAGCTCAAAATGATGGAGAAGCATCACTTGAGAAGTTACATGTAGCCTAATAAGAAGGCACTCTTATAGGAATCAGCAAACAATCTCCAAAATCCTTGCACTGTTGAACTTTCTCAACAAAGATGGAACTATGACCCAATCTGGCCACACACCTTTCCAGAAATATTAAGTATAGTGTAAAAAAAAAACTAGGTGAAGCTTTGCAGGCATAATGTGCCACCTGATGAAGTTATGGTGGCTTATTAATTTGTGTTTATTGATAAGGATGGAAAAGCTGACCCAATATCATTTTCAAGATACACACCTGTTCTTCTCCATTGTCTCTACATGTAGTAACTTGTTTTCTTCTGATAGAATTAAGAAAGCATTATAGACAGAGCATGCCAAAAGATTAGTTGAAATAATGACATCTACAAAACTTTCCCAATTAATGCCTTGATATAGAACTGAAGATAAATTAATGATGGGAAGCTGATTTTTTTTAGTCTGGGGTTCCAGTGTCACTCTTATGTAATGAAATATTGGAGACTTCAGGCTAAAGTTAACCTCGGACATTTAAAATGACCTCAGAAAAGAAGAAAATAAACCCAGGTTTGCACAAAAATTCATATGATTTAGTAATGTGTATACATACACACTTCTAATTGTTTTTAAATATTAAATACAAATAGCTATACATACACAATACACTTCCTCACAGTGAAGAAAACTATAGGCTCACCCAGGGCTTTTCCACACAGCAATATAACCCAAATATCAAGACAGAATAACCCACAATATCTGCTTTGAATTGGAATATCTGACTCCACATTGCCATATATCCCAGTTCAAAGCAGATAATGTGGGATTTTATTTAGCAGTGTGGAAGGGGCCTCAGTCTGTTTCCCAGCTGTTGAGGAACATCTTGATAGCCCCTGCTTATGGTACTTTATCCGTGGAATCACAGAGCTGGAAGAGATCCCAAGGGTCATCCAGTCAAACCCCCTGCCATGCATGAACAATCATAGAATTCCTAACACGTGGTCATCCAGCTCTGTTTTAAAAGCTACAGATAAAGAGACTCCTTTAGTCTTCCCTTTGTCTCACCAAACAGGAGACTAAAGATTTATATCCCACTTTTATCTCAGTCAAGAGATGTATCTAGATGTACCTAACATTTGTCTTAATAGGCAGAACTATTAATAATAATAATAATAATAATAATAACTCTGAAAAAGGAGCCAGAAGGCCTGATTCCGGCAGCCCAAGAACAAGCCATTAGAACCAATGCCATCAAACCAGTATTGAAAAGTCGACAACAGATCCCAAATGTAGACTCTGCAAGGAAGAGATGAAACAATAGATCACATCCTCAGCTGCTGCAAAAAGATCGCGCAGACAGACTACAAGCAGAGGCATAACATTGTTGCTCAGATGATTCATTGGAATACATCCTACCTCTGTTCACACCCAGTGTTTATTTATTTTTGATTTATTACATCTGGCCCGGCCATAAGGTTTTAAATTCTCTGTGTTATTGTTTATATGTAAGTTATATTAATTGTACTGTTTTATTTGCTTGCTGTTTTGTTTTTACTGATGTGTTGTTGGGCTTGGCCTCATGTAAGCCGCCCCGAGTCCTCTTGGGGAGATGGTGGTGGGGTACAAATAAAGTTTATTATTATTATTATTATTATTATTATTATTATTATTATTATTAACTTGTGCCACAAATACCATCTACCTGCAACAAAGAACTAGTAGGATCACAAGCCGGAAAAAGTTACAGAGAATGAACACGCCAAACTCCTCTGGGACTTCCGGATTCAGACAGACAGAGTTTTGGAGCATAATACTCCTGACGTCACAATCATGTTAAAAAACAAAGGATGGATCGTCGATGTCGCAATCCTAGGTGACAGCAGGATTGCAGAGAAACAACTGGAAAAGCTGACATGATATGAGGATTTAAAAATCGAACTGCAAAGACTCTTGCACAAACCAGGAAAGGTGATCCCAGTGGTGATCGGCACACTGGGTGCAGTGCCTAAAGACCTTGGCCTGCACTTAAACTCAATCGGTGCTGACAAAATTACCATCTGCCAGCTGCAGAAGGCCACCATACTGGGATCTACATGCATTATTTGCTGATACATCACACAGTCCTAGACACTTGGGAAGTGTCTGATGTGTGATCTAATTCAACAGCCAGCAAAGTGTCTGCTGTGGACTCACCTTGTTGTGTTTCAAATAATAATTGTTATTATCATTTATTTTTATCCTGCCTCATCTCCCCGAGGGGACTCAGGGCATAATTTGTTCTGCTGGGAAAAACCCAGAACTGAGAAACCAAGACAGAATTAAATTCACCAAATTGAATTCAGCTGTATTGTATTCATGTGGTATGAATCTGAAACAGCTACACAAAACCCAGCAGATGTCCACCCCACCCTCCAACAAAAATACATTCTAGCTCATAGGAAGATGCCTTACATTCATGGCATTAAAACTTTAAGAAACCAAGGCTCTGGGCTGCTTTTCTTTCCTGTCTCCAGCTGCGGTGCCATGTGACAATTGCTGTTGGAACATATTCCTATTATGCTTCCTGCAGAAATAAGCCTGGAGCAACTGGACTACCTGTATTCATTGTTGTGTCACATTGTGCCTTTGCAACACATTGTCAAGGATCAATAGACCTAGTGTGGCTAATAGGATCTTATTCTTTACCATAGCTGTGTCACAGGTACGTTTATGCTTCATATGTCATTTCATTTTTACCTCCACACAAGGAAGCCAAGCTGAAATAGAATAAAATGTTCAACCTGCCTGCTATAATTTAATGCAACCCTTTAAACATTTTTATATGTAAAGTACAGCCATAGAAAGAAGTGCAACATATCTCAAGATATACACTGCCTAAGGAAGGGATCCAAAGTTAATCCCTCAATACATTGTTAGAATTCTTATTCTCCCTTTATTATGAACATTTCACTGCAACCTACTGCTGTTGAAACATCACGAAGCAGAGAACTGCTCTGTTTGGGTTAGTCTGCACTGGGCACAAGTGGGGACTAATTTAACTATTTATCTCAGATTTCCTGGTAGTGCAGACTCATATAAGGCAGTTTAAGGCAGAAAACCTGATATCAGATCCTAGGATACAGGGCCTGTCTGGATGGGCCCTGTGTTGCCTTGCCTGTGTAGACACCCTTTCAATAGAACACCAAGTTGTACAGCCTTATATAGGCTAGGCATTCAATATTGGGGCAAATGTCTTCTTCCTCTACTGTTCCATAACCACCCCGTGTGCTTATGACTCCTCTGCCTCAGAGTGAGGTGGAGGCTCCTTTTTTGGAGGCTTTTAAATAGAGGCTGGATAGCCATGTGTCGGGAGTGCTTTGATTTTCTTGCTTCTTGGCAGTGGGTTGGACTGGATGGCCCATGAGGTCTCTTCCAACTCTATGATTCTATTATTCTACTTTAGTTACACACAAGAATTCTGGAATATGTTGCAAGAACACATAGAACAGTGGTTCTCAACCTTCCTAATGCCATGACCCCTTAATACAGTCCCTCATGTTGTGTGACCCCCCCCCCAACCGTAACATTGTTTTCATTGCTACTTCATAACAGTCATTTTACTACTGTTATAAAACATAATGTAAATATCCGATATGCAGGATGTATTTTCATTCACTGGACCAAAATGGGCACAAATACTCAATACGCCCAAATGTGAATGCTACTGGGGTTGGGGAAGGATTGATTTCATAATTTGGGAGTTGTAGTTGCTGGGATTTATAGTTCACCTACAATCAAAGAGCATTCTGAATGCCACCAGCGATGAATTTGAACCAAACTTGGCACACAGAGCTGCCATGACCGACAGAAAAAACTAGAAGGGTTTGGTGGGCATTGACCTTGAGTCTGGAAGTTGTAGTTAACCTATATCCAGAGAGCACTGTGGACTCACACAATGATGGATCTGGACCCAACTTGGCACGAATACTCAATATGCCCAAATGTGAACACTGGTGGAGTCTGGGGAAAATAGACCTTGACATTTGGGAGTTGTAGTTGCTGGGATTTATAGTTCACTACAATCCAAGAACATTCTGAACTCCACCAATGATAGAATTGGCTCAAACTTCCCACATGGAATACTGTATTTTCTGATGGTCCTTGGCAACTCCTCTGACACCCCCTCACAACCTCCTCAGGGGTCCCGACCCCCAGGTTGAGAAACACTGACATAGAAGAAGACACAGCAAATACTGAAGCCCCTATAATTATAAAACTGATTGAACTAACCATACTGTAAAGGGACTGGAATTGCAATGGTAACATAACTCACTGGGACTTCATTAATGCAAAATGGAAATAATTACAAATAACCCATCATTTGGACTTAGCGACTTCCAGGTTTTGATTAGAACTTGATAGAAATTTCTCTTCATATAATAGAATTATTGCTATGGGAGCTGCATTCTCACATTTCATTTCAAAATCTGCATCTGTAGAAATGATTCAGACTGAAAAATGGTAACTATGGAACTGGGCATTTAATTAGGAACTGCCAATTGCATGCATATCAAACGTTGCACTTAATACAGTTCAGGAGTGGACACTTCCAAGAAAGAACAATTTGATATATGCTCAGTATGACAGCAAGTATTTTCTAGGGATTGCTCAATCAGACCCTATCCAAACAATTTACATTCATATTTCATGCCAATTCCTTCATGGAAGGAATTGATAGAAAATTAAGCACAAGTGAACCCATCCTTAATTACCTTCTAAGGTTGTTGTCTACAAATATGCCTATTTAATTTTCTTTCTTTCTTTTAGAAAGCACACATGGCATTCTGGTTATCTATGATGAAGATGCAGAAGAATGGGCCTTATATTTGAAATCAATTTTCAAGCACATTATATTAGAAGACAGAATTGCACTTTACAACCTCAACACAATGTCCCTGTATGACCTGGAATTCCAGTCGCTGTGCTCTTTTGGATGTAAACTCTTGATTATATCAAGCAAGCTTCTGAACGGCTTGAATCTAATGAAAAGATATTTTCTAGATCAGATTCTTCAGCCTCCTGAAAAAGTGGTGATTTTTCTTTGTGGGATTGAGAATTCAGCCATTATTTATCAGGGACTGAATATAGACACAACCAATCCGCTGGTTACCACTGATGAAGACCCCGAAGTTTACCTTACAGTGATTTCCGGCATCATGCAACAAGGTAAAATGCTCACTAATCTATTTGATTCCATGTTAATATTTCAAGTAGAACAAAGTTAATAGATACATTAATGTATTTTTAAGAAAGTGAGTTTTTAATTACAGTTTATACAGTCTAATTCTAATGAAGAGTTGTCTCTCACTATGGCAAAATATTTGTCCCAATATGCAAGGATGTCTTCAAAGTTCTCCTCACTTGAAAAGCAATTTTGATGGGATTAAATGTATAATTACATGAATACATGAAGCATATATGTGGAGAATTGCAAGCTGTGGCAAACCAGAACTTGGAAATATTACGTTTCGGAAAACAACTCCCAGAATGCCCCAAGTAGCTGAGGGACATGGGGATTTGTAGTCCAAACTAGAAACATTTCCAAACTTAAACCACTCATGTAGGGCACTTCCACACATCACTAAAACTCACACAATTTACCAGCTGTTACAATTTTTGGGAGTTGAAGGCCAAAACATTTGGGGGCCCACAGGTTGAGAACCACTGTTTTAGGGGGTAAATCAGGGCCTTGGGGAAAAGGGTGGGCACCATCCTGCTCCTCTAGGCTTTTCAAAGCCCAACGAAGCAGAATGGCTGTGGAGACTCACCCCCGAGACTATAGAAGCAGTTCCGGGAGTCAGTCCCCACAGCACAGCACCTCATTGGACCTGGATGTTTCATAAAGACCCGGATCTAATGAGCTGTTTAATTAACGCAGAGTAAACCAAGGAAAACTAAGTTTACTCTGCATTAATAATAACTTTATTTATATCCCACCCCATCTCCCCAAAGGGACTCAAGGAGACTTTCAAGGCAACACAGTGCAAAACAGAATACACAAAATATACAACAAAATTAGCCCAAATCAGTAAAAACACAGAGTAACATAAAATAACAGTACATAGGAATTATTTTTTTACCGGAGGTGTTGTTTGGACCTCCGGTAAAAGTGAGTCAGGTTCCATTTTGGGCTTGTCTGGATGGGCCCATATACTACAATGAGATTTACTTTACTTCCATTTATATTGCATTAATCATTATTCAGTTTTGATTCTGTGCAGTTTTGATTCTGTGCAAATTATAAGGAAATAAACATATGTCCATACTTTCTTCTGCCATCTTTCTTTAGGAATACATTTCCATTGGTTTTCAGCATTACACAAGTACTCCTCCTAGGTAACTCCACTTCATCCACTATTATCCCATGTTGACATTCCCTTTCCTTCCATAAGCCTATGCCCCTTTTAGATTATAAGATCCCTGGGGACAACTGAACTTTTGTAAAAAGTGGTCCATGCAGTTCTGACCTGATAGGATATAGGGAATAAAAAGGTTAAACTATGTTTATTCACACAGTTCTTTAAAGAAGAAAGTTTTTAAGACTGAGTCAGGGAATTTTGTGTGATGTTTTTAGGGTTTTTTTTAACTGCTTTAATTATTTTAATTATTCCTTGTTAGATAGTTCTTAGTTTAATTCTATTTTAATATCTATAGCCATTAGGTTTTTTTATTGTATTGTATTGTTTTTACCACTGTTCACCACTCTCTCTTTCAGAGAAAAAAGCAGCATATAAATTATTATTATTATTATTATTATTATTAATTATTATTATTTCAAAAACAAAAACAGACCCCTGTTGGACAAGCTCAAACTGGAGTTATTATTATTTTCAGAAGTAAATAAATTTGAATTTGAAATAGTTGTGAACTCATCTCCATTACCAGATTCAAAGTTCAAATGCAAGGGTTCTAAGGGCAAAAGAGAGAAGATGTGAGTTTTCCAAAACTTTAAAATCTTAAGAAAACTTCACAAAACTTATTTTAACTCTACTCCAACCTATGATAAAATTCTGATCAATCCTATCAGATAATGCGGCTGAAAAATGCAAACAGACATTTGTTGATTATTATCTTCATATGCATTCACAAGCATACTCTTCTATCTCAGATTAAAAATCTTGGCAAGTCAGTTGGCTCTATGTGCAAAATGTCCGTTCTGTGAGTCTAAAGATTGCTTAGTGTATTCTGTGTACTGTACAGGTTGTTCAGCAACATCCAGGCCATAATATCTCATTATGGGTTTTTCTTGCTCATTGAAAGCTTGGTAGACTGATATTACGAATATAAAAGAAACACTTAAAACTATTAAATAAGCATTTACAATGCATAGACATGGACTCCATGCCCATTTGTCCTAGTTTAATGCTAGAGTACTTCCACTGAAATGCAGAACTCTGGGACCATTGAGCCTCTAACAAGCATACAAAGCACTGTATATCCCTCTGTTTTCCAAAATACATGGCTAAACATAATGACTCTACTGAATCATATTATTTCTGTGCTATTTTGGTCCAAAAGTATCTCAAAATGACCTCAGCTCTCAAAAACATTTCAGAACCTAGATGTTACCATTTGAACATCAAGCTGACTGCTTGGGGCTGGATCTACACTGCCATATAAGCCAGTTTCTGAATCCAGATTATATGTTTTGAATATAATGAGTCTAAACTGCCCTATAATCTAGTTCAAAGCAGATAATATGGATTCAGAAACTGGATTATATGGCAATGTAAATAAGGCCTCGGTTTGATATTTTTGTCCCATTGCTAAAATTAGAGGAATTAAAAATGAGCTTCAACTATGAAACAACAAAATGAAATTAATTTTCCCCTAATGCATGGACCACATTCAACAGGCACAACCATTCCTAGCCTGGGAAGAACCAGGTTATACTTACCTGCCATAAAAAGCATAAATGTGGGAAACAGGTGGCAACCACATATAGTATTAACATAGTGTATACAAAAGGAAACCTAGTCTTTTAAGAGTGAAAAACTCAGAACTTAAGAGTGTGAAGCAATCAAAATTGCATCCTCCCACACTTCGTTATTTTAAAACTTCTTTCCATTGTGAATATGAAGAGATCTGCAGATGTTGCTGTGTTGTTGTGTGCCTGTAAGTGGTTCCTGAGTTACGGCCGAGCAACACCAAAATTTGGTCAAGGTGACAAAAGTTATTAATGAAGGAAAACACACAGGCTAGGGGAGGCTGCAGCAGTTTTATGCCATGGCAAACTACACATCACAGGAATCCTTAGGATAGAGCCATGCAATTAAACTAGTGTCAGACTCCTATGATTTTGCATCTTGATACTACTTTGAGATTCTACTTGATCTGCCATGGCATTTCCTATGGAATCCTGGGTTCTACAAAACTCTCTAGTTAGTTCCAAATACCCCTTCCTAAACTATCAAATATCAGGTTTCCACAGAAGGTTGTCATGGAGCTCAAGTGGATTGGTAGTGTTATAACTGTGCCCCTCACATTTCTTGGTACACACACAGTCTCTTTTGCTATATGGCAGGGTTGGAAACATCCAATCCTCTAGATGTTATTGGATTACAATTTCCAGCATTACTCAGCATTGCCTTTGTTGCCTAAGCATACTGGATGTTGCAGTTCACCCACATCCAGAAGGCTTTTCAATTCCCTCCCCTGCTGTAAATGGTCAGCCTAATTCAAGGCAGGGAAGCGCATAGAAGGAACTATTTCATATTGTAAAATCAATGAGATATATATACCTATCCTTTAAGTAGTGTTGTTCAGAGCTTTCATGGACATTATCTCAGTAATATTTACACATCTATGAAGGCAAACCAAAACCATTATGCTCACATTATAGAGAGAGGGCAATGACTTATTGCCACTGGTATCATGGCTCAGCATATGACCTCAGATCTGGGGACATTCTGCCAATGGATTCCACTTCAAAACATGAAGCCACTCCGGCATTCAGAAATATTTCCAGAATATCCATTTCTTGATAAGTAAATAATTGGAAGATCCATTTGATGGAAGAAAATCTGTTTTTGCCTTTTCACTGCCAGCCAAGTGTCAAGTTAATAAGCATTACACATAGTGATGAGAGGTTATGGGAAAGCAGGATTAAAAAGCTCAGGCACAGGATCAAAAACACACCTTCTGAACTCTATTTTCAAAACTTTCAAGCGTGCAGCATAGAATAGCTTGGAAATGAAGTAGGTTGAATCACTTGGCACTCAAATCATGATATGAAGATGAATAGGATTTCAAATGCTGTCTCAGCAAAGACTTGGTGTCGTTATGCAAACTCCAGGCATTGGAAAGAAGGTTTGCAAGAGTGATTGAATTTATTCACTTTAATGAGGCAACCCTACAAATAAAAATAGTCGCCCCAAGTTACCTACACAAAAAATTAAATAGCTACATTTCAAACATCATATAAAATGAGAACATCATATAAACTGAGATGTTCACAATATTATTTACTGAGGGTAAATAATATTGTGATCTGTTTTCAGGAAAGATACATTAGATAGCCGTAACCAGATTTTGTTTTCCTGTTTACCATTTCCATTGACAATCCACAATCTTGTTGATTTTAAGCCCTCTTCCTTATAAAACAAAACCATCAACAACCCAATCTTTTGTCGAAGGCTTTCATGGCTGGAATCACTAGGTTCTTGTGGGTTTTTTTCGGGCTATAGAGCCATGTTCTAGAGGCATTTCTCCTGACGTTTCGCCTGCATCTATGGCAAGCATCCTCTTTTCATTAATCATATTGTTACCATATTGTTCTTGGTTAGGATCCAAAAGCTAGAGTTATCCACTTGTAACTGATTCATATTCACAACTCTATGTATTCAATAGCATTATGAATATATAGAGACTGTAAAAGTCTCCCAATCTTCACTTATCAAGCAACAGCTGTTGCAAACATTGGGGAAATATTTTTCTATGGATTGTGATGCATCAGACTGATGTTTCTAGCAGACCCGAATGGTGCAAGGAGGAAATGCAACAGGGATCCTACTTCTCATTCCTGTACAAGAGTTCACTGCTAGAAACAAAACAAGCAGAAAACTCTGTATATTAGAGCACTGCTTCTTAAACTGTGGGTCACGGGCCCAAATGGGGTCCCTTTAGCTCAATGGAAAAGTCCTAAAAAATTTGACATGGCTAAATTT